TTCGGTGCCCGTTATGCTGTTTTGAGTTTCTAGTAAAATACGCAATGTGTTTTTTCTTAAATAAAACTATTTAATGCCATTAAATAATTATGATTTTACACTATTATTATGCAATTGTGAACTTAGATGGTAGTTAAAGGAAGATATCTCACTGTCAGTTTATGAAAAAGATTGCGGTCAAAAATATGGCTTAAAAACCAGTGGTACGAGGGTCAAACTGAAAGTTCTTAGAACTGGCCACTTATAAACAATATAATTAAAAAATAATTCTAAAATTTGAAAATATAACTCTTTGCCAATATTACTGAGTATATATTTCATTCATTTGTCATTTGTTTTACGATTTGGCGGCAAATTGAAAATTGTCTGTGTCACGTCATCATGAATTTAACACGAGAAAATTTTCGTGCAATGATTTTTTATGACTTTCGATGTCATTTAAGTCAACAAGAAAGTTATGATAGACTACGATTGGCCTTTCACGATGAAGCCCCATCTCGTGCGACTGTTTACAACTGGTTTAATGATTTTAAACGTGGTCGCACTAATCTCACTGATGATTTACGTGAGGGACGGCCTTCTACGGCGACGACTGAAGATAACATCTGTGTTGTGCGGCGTATGATAGAGACTGACAAAAGAGTGACCTATCAACAGATTCGGACAAGCTTAGGCATCGGTATGAGTCAAGTGCACAAAATCCTCCACGAACATTTAGCGGTCAGGAAGCTTTGCGCCCGGTGGATACCTCATAATTTGACTGAGGCTCAAAAACTCCATCGTGTGGATTGGTGTCGTAAAATGATTGAAAGATTTAACGGAGGTGACTCAAATGCTGTGTTCGACATACTAACAGGTGACGAAAGCTGGATTTACTGTTATGATCCTAAAACCAAAAGACAATCTGCTCAGTGGGTGTTTCCTTTCGAGGAGTTGCCAACTAAAGTGAAGAGAGATCGAAGTGCGGGAAAAAAAATGGTGGCCTCGTTCTTTGGAAGGATAGGTCATTTTGCAACAATTGTGTTAGAGGATCAAAAAACAGTTTCTGCAGAATGGTACACTACCAATTGTTTGCCACTTGTCTTGGAAAAAGTTCGAGAGAAACGACCTCGCAGTAGGATCCTCCTTCACCACGACAACGCCTCGTCGCACACCGCCAAGCGAACGATCGACTATTTGGCGACATCAAACGTTGAATTACTGGGTCACCCGCCGTATAGCCCCGACCTCGCGCCTTGTGATTTTTATTTATTTCCAAAAATTAAAGAAAAACTTAAAGGAAAGCGGTTTATGAATGCTGAAGAAGCGGTGGCTGCGTATCGCGATGCCATTGAAGAGACCCCTAAGGACGAGTGGGCAAAGTGCTTTTCCCAGTGGTTCCATCGCATGCAGCGGTGTATTGACGTGAATGGACAATATTTTGAAAAGATATAATAAAACTAATAACTGGCTAATGTAATCAGTTTTTGATTTTCTAAGAACTTTCAGTTTGACCCTCGTAATAGAGGATAATAATATGGTACAGAAAAAGGCAAGATTGCCACACTCTTACAAATATTTCATTAAAGAACAGATGTTCTTTAATGAAATATTTGTAAGAGTGTATGAACGGAGGTGTGGCTGAAAGGGTTAAATATTATTTACGCAAGATTATGATAAAGACAAGATTTTGATTAAGATCCGGAGGATACTAACATTATAATGGAGAAACTTAAAGTTTTTGAGATATGAACTGACCTAAACTACCTATATGACTTACTACTATAGGTCAAGTAATGGGTTAGAAAATTATATATAGAGGTTATTTTTTCAGATTACAGAATCATATATCGCTAATATATAAACATGCTATTGAGCAAATTATTAGATATATTTATATTATTTTATTTTCTGTATGTTATTCTTTTCTTATATAAATACAGACAGAAATCTAGTCGAGTCTACGTTTTAACATAAATCTTAACAAGTTTAGTAAGGAATATGTACCTATTCTATAGTAGATTTATACCTTGATTAGTAAGATAAACATATTAATAGATTATCTTCCTATCTTCCAGTATAAAGTATATTCCTAGGGATATATTAGGGCTATATCTATCTTACTGCGACATAAGAACTACATAGTATAAATGATAATAGAAAAAACTGTTATAATATTAAATCTGTAGTCTATATTACGCCCTTTCATAACATGCTTATAATGAGTTTCAAATTCTCGAATTACACTTTATTGTCGGGAGAATCAAATAAATGATAATTAAATAGGTAATAGAAAAAGATCAACCGTAAATGATATAAGAGCCATTTAACCTTATTAATACTATAACTTAGAAAGCAGCATTATCTCGCTGTCTGCACTTTCACGCCTAAATTACTGAACCTATTTCAATGAAAACATATCTTTTATCACTAATAAAGGAGGTTGAATGGGTTGAAATAAGAGATGAAACTTTATACCGAAGTTTGTATTTGTCAAAGATAAAACCATGGAAACTTTTAATTTAATATTCCTTATTAGGTATTGTATATGCATGTAAATTAAGGAGTATTATATGACTGCGACAATAGTTTCGTTTCAGTGCGTGTTCTATTTGCACACGTTTTGAATGACATTGTCGTGGTGCTAATTGGTGGCGAGAGCCCATCACATGCATACATTCTGTACGAGAGCATAGCCTTATGGAACGTTGTAGCTATAGAAACACGTACTTTCCAATTACCAATCGGAATAAATTTAGTTTGTTGTAAATATAACACCACCATTCTACGAAATAGCTTTTAAAGTATGAAACTATAAGTATATTTTCGCACGCACTAATACGCGTGGTTTGCATGACGGTTTCAATCTCTGAGATTCTGTGTTCAATTTCCGATCTAGTTAATGTAGAAAATGAGCTTTTCTATTTTTCTCGGATTGGATACTTTCGAGGAATTCAGCTGCTTATCTTCGAGTCTAAGCAATGATATTATAAAACTAATTTTCAACAGGTCAAAGTACTTGTGGATTATGTTTTTAGACCATTTGCGGGTCTATTACCACTTGTAATAGACCCGCAAATGTTTGTTGGTGTTAGTTGAGAAATTGTCGAGCGGCGTATAAGCTGTCGTAAGTAGATAAAATCAATATGCCCTTTTGATCAAGCTTAATCCATTCACTTATCATGTGTAAAATTATTGGAGTCTAAGTAACAGAGCACTGAGCCAAAAAATTTAGAAAATTTCTGACTATTTTTTTCGTAAATAACTTATTGTTCCATTTTATCATATCGAAAACAGTAAATTAAAAAAGGTAGACAATACTTTATTGTAGACCCTGTGAAAAATACAGGGAAGCAAAACAAAAATCAACGTCACAGACGGCAGTCTTATCACTATATAGTAAATTCTTACAGACAACCTTTAGACGTAATGAACTCTATTAGTATAATATGGTATAAATTTGTGTAGGTTAGATAAGGGAAACACTGTTCTAATCTTTTCCCCAGAGCCTCAGAGCCCCATTACGTCCTAATTATAACCTTAAAGTAGAGTTCACATCTGTTTCACCACATGAAAGCAATAAATGAGTTTTAGTTTGAGTCATATCCAATTTTCTTAATACAAAACCATATCTTATATATTAAAAGCACGTTGCAATGAGGCGTGTAAGTACATCTCCACTACAAATTTGAAAGTGATTACAGATACATTTATAAGATTGTTGTGCACAAACCAACACAGGTATGATATTATTTTGAAGTCTATTTATTTCGTTTATGAAGAACGTAAATGATCATGAAAAATATGGTGGTAGGTAGCGGTCTGCACCGGGCCTCGTCGTAGCTTCGTATTAATTTTTCCAGGCAGTTGAGTTCGAATGCGCTTCCGGCTTGAGTTGCCTCAACTCGAAAGCAAACTTTTCGTGCTTACATTACTTTAAATTCTTTTACCTCTTAGCTTTGCTTTGCGATACTTTGCATATCACCCCAAGTATACATTTATTTTATGTTTATTTTATGTTCATGGGGGAACTTCGTTTCCCTACCAGGTTTCCACTTGAAGACATTTACTAGTGGTGCTTAAAATGTTGGATTATATATAAATGGAAATATATGTTTGATAATGATGCATTAAACAATTGAAACTGATTTCATGGCTATGAAATCGCAATCTACAGTGCAATAAGGATAGCCTTATTGATAGCAATTCCAGTTTAATCAAGACAATGTATGTACAATTCAAATTGCTTCATCGAAGTGTTTTAAATATTATCGAATGGAAGATACGCTCCTGCTCTATTTAAAAACTTGGTAAGGTACATTTTTCCGACAAAAACGTGTTGTCACATAATTTATAAAAATTTCAAAATTCATTATGAACTTACCATAATTAATTAAAAATTACTAGCATTTAAATCTCATACATCCTATTAATATTATAAAGGCGAAAGTTTGTAAGTATGGATGTATGGATGTTTGTTACTCTTTCACGAAAAAACTACTGGACGGATTTGGATAAAACTTTACAGCAATATAGGTTATACATCAGAATAACACATAGGGTACTTTTTACTGGGAAAACTTCTCACTCCCACGGGATACCGACTTCCACGCGGACGAAGTCGCGGGCGTCCACTAGTAAAAAGATAATTTTACTTTCAAAACCTAGCAAGTCACTATTAAAAGATGCGTTTAAATAAAAAAGAATGATTTTATTTTAAAGAAATAATATCCAAATTAGCTCTGATTAAAAACGAGAAAACTACGTCATACACCTGAGACCATCACAAAAGAGGACAAAGTTATCTCTCAAATTCAGTTTTCTTTTCATTTCTTCTCGAAAGGAGATGGGTAAAGATCGGCCTTTTTTCGCCTATCGGGCAATTCGTAATGTATTATTATTTTCTTAATATTTATACCCAGTAGAAATAAAAATGCTAGGTTTATGGTGAAAATATTTTTATTTATATAAAAAAAAATGAGAAATCTCGGTATATTTGTGATATTACAAAATGTATTTAATTATGCTTCCTCGTCATGTTGGTTGTCTGAATCATCACTGGACCATCCAGTAGCAGCGTCTTCAAATGTATTAGCATATTCAAGACTTGGTGTTTTCGTTTCTGTACGATTATGGCGCCAATACCCCAAGTACCATAATACAGATGCAACATGCGCGCAACAACCGACAACTCTTGCGCCAACTTTGCACTGACAATACCATTCAATGTTTATGATAGAACTTATGGCTGTTCTTATCCACATGTTATATATTTTTGAGCTTGTATGTCGTGATCTTAACTGAATTCGGATAACTGAGACATCTTCTCGATGAACGTATAGGGAGTACATTCCCGTTTGGCTAATGTGTTCCTGAGTGTAAGATCTGCTTTGTTTTAGCTGATATATTCCAAGAGTGAGATTTCGCAGCTCTTCCCATGTTAACTGTGGGAAATCTGAAAGATCAGATTCGCTTAACGGACGCCATATCGCCTTCTTTCTTGCCCACCCATTTTCTTCAACCATCTTTTGTAGGTGATTAGGTTTCTTCACTAAATCAAGCATCCGTTGGGCAATGATATTGTCGTCTTCATCACTGTTAATTCTTGTTGGGTGAAAGGCATTAAGAATTGCACACACGATTTGAACATAATCTCTAATATATGGTATTTGGACATTTGGTATGACATTATTCAGTAGTCTCCAGTTTTTGAGTTGGCCATTTACAGCCTCAACAACCCAACGAACTTTTGTTACCAAGCGTGTCTCATTAGCGTCCTTCGTCACGAATTGTGCCTGTTTGTTAATAAATGAAGGCATTATAGGAATTAGGTCCATGTCCTCGAGAAGCTTGAAACAGTCTCGGAAACCTCTGTCAACGATAATAATATCATTAGGTTTAAGCCAGTCTCTGATATTATGAGCATCTTTTTTTAATATATGTGTAAAAATGTTTGCATCGTTATTTTTGGAATCGGAAAAGTAGGGTCCAAAAACATCCAATATGTACCCTGTTGTCGTCACTAACATCATGGGTTTAACAAGCGGTCTTCCTTTATGTATACAATAACATCGTCTTTGGAAATAATAATTGCTACTTTTTTGAATATAAATGTATGTGCCGTCAGCGACAAGAACAACAGTTTCATTATTATCGTCCGGAATAAATAATGTTTTTGCCAATAAACGCGTATGGTCTTCAATAATCTTAGTTCTTGTAATATGCTGCGTTCCAAGATATAATGGAACGAAGTTTTTTATCAGGGCTTGTCGAGCAGATTGTATAGAGAAAGCAAGCAATTTTTTTTTTAAGTTAAATAATGCGGAGAGAACTCCTTTCGAGAGACCCGTTCTAAGCTTCACAAGTAATACAGCTAAACAAGTGCGTCTTGATCTGTATTCTGACGAATGAATGCCTGACTTTACTAAATCAAAAATCTTATCGAAGTTTTCAATAGTTAACCCCATTAGTGAATAATAATCGGAATCTTTTAACTGTCCCGGGGTGTCAAAATCGAGACCTTTCTTTTTTGCGATTCCTCTAATATCTTGCAAAAGAGTTTCAATATCCTTCTCATATAAATGTGTATTATTTGTTATTGGTTTTAAATCCGAAAGCGACGCATCTGTGAATACTTTTTTAGAAAGATGATCTTTGCAACATCATTTTCCTACCGTTACATATATTCCTCTTTCAATAAATGTTTGTGTTCGAGCTGCATGTGGTACTGTAACAAGGTTTTTCTGACTATTACATATTATACAACGTACATTTGAATTGTGGCACCGAGGTAATGACAACACTACTTTGGGTTTTTCTGCTTCACATTTCGTACTTGTGGACGGTTCAACACTGTCGGCAATATTCGAAGAAGATGTAGAACGATTTTTAGTATCTAAGTTACGATATGCATATTTTCGGCATGCAGAACATACTTTCTGTCCTTTTTGTAAAGCAAAGTTTTTATGCTGTCTAAGAACAGATATTATTTTGTTATTAGAAACAACACGAAAATCACTTTTACTTTTTAACCACTTTTTACAAGAATCGCACTGAATTCCGGGCATTATTTTTGGACATAATATATGAAAACACACAAATAATTACGCTAACATGTGTCCTCAAAACAAAATAAAAATCCAATGTAGAATTGAACGATAAATATGAGCCTCAGACAAGTCGGAACATGTACTCGTCGCATGCACGGTAAACTCGCGTTCAAAATGTTTTGTTTTGTATCACATAGGTGCGTTCAATGCACCAAAACAAATGAATGCTAGTTTATATATTTATTGACCCTAATATAAAAAAAAAATAAGATCATTGTGGTGCACGAAGCGCTTAATGAATTTTTTTAAAGCCAAAATCCGAAAAAACGCCAAAAATAGCAAAAATTCAATAAACATGTCAAGTTTGAAGGGTTTTTCTTGTTACTTGCCTTTTTATTTTTTTAATCAATTTATTGTAGATGCATACAAAGATACTTAAACTTAATATACATATGATAATAATGGCCAAAATCGAAACTTGGGATTTTCACAAATAAGATAGGCGAAAAAAGGCCGATCTTCACCCATCTCCTTTATTTGATTTACTTTATAGCTAATGGATGTTCGGAGAATTTGGCTATCATAATAATGTGTGACTTATAAATAAAAAAATATAAAAAAATTGACAGGCAATTCGCCAGGCCATTCGCTTTGTGTTCTTATTATATATTTATTTCATTATATATTTCATTATTAAGTTAACATTTCAATTTTTTTAGTTTCTGAGACTACATAGGTTTTCTTTAGATATCCATAAAGTTTTTTTTTCCTAAGGTAAATATGGCTTGTAGTTGTACGTGGTAGTTTATATGTCCGTCCTGTATACAATTCTCTTTTAGCTGTTTACTATGTTTTAAAATTGGGCAGCCGAGCGGAAATTTTGCATATAAATAAAACTTTAATATTGAGTGATATCAAATAAATTTAAATAATTGAAACATATACTCTGATGAAGTGAATTGAAAATTCGCACAAAGTAAACTCCATTTCCGTTTCAATATTGCCTGACTAAATTGCCTTTAACAGTTGAAACGCCATCGCAAATATGATTTGGCGACAACCTGCATCAAAGGCGTAATTGCTCAATAAGCGCATTTGATACGTACGTAAGTACATTCAATAACATGCTAATCAATGTTATCATGTGTTCGGAGATGATTATTTTTAAGTGGAAATATTTTTAGAATAAATGCGGTCTCCCTTATCCAAATAATTGCTCTAAGCACTGACACCGAAGACTAATTTTGCGATGTAGCGATATTATTTTAGCTAAATAGCTGAATAATTTATATAGTTGTGAAATATAATATTAGTTTATTTTCTTCATAAGTTAATATACTTAGTTATTAACATTTATATTTTGAAATTGAAATAACAATTTGAATTTTCTGTAACCTATTTCATGAGTAATATCATTTTAACATTAAGGTTCAATTAGCCTTTCAGGGAAGAATCTTGACATTAATATTTATGAGCAATCAACGATGTCTGAATATCATATTCATATTATTTTTATTTGGACATGTAAGACATAATATAAAAACTTTCTTTTTATTTTATGACATCTACTGATTACATTTTAATTGTATTGTGATATTTTATGTCTATAATCTAATGTATGTTTGATTACTTATGTTATTATAATTCAAATTTTTCTTGTTTCGATTTTATTTAATGTATCTTATATGTGACTTTCATTTTTGGCATGAATAAAGAATAATTATTATTATAACTTTTGCTTTAGTTTTCTTTTTTATTGTTATGAATTTTTTTTTGTTTGTTAATTTCTGGCCCTTTCTTAATGATGGCTGAAAATCGTCGCTTCGCCCGTTCCTAGGTTATTTAGATGCACCGAGCTTTGACCCTTTTCTAACTGCTAGACACAGGTACATCATAATTAATAACTTATTTGATTTTACTTTTTTGTGTGATTCATAACTTTGCCGATGTAATTGTATGTAGTTTTTAATAACAAACGTTTTATCTATCTATCTTTCATTTTATTTTTAGATAGATTGATGAACTCTTAATTGCTCATACACAAATGAAAATTTTACAGAAAATTTCTTAATTCTAAATATATTACTATAATATATAATACATACTACTAATATGCATTACCTATAATCTACGTATACATAATAAATCTATCCGTTCTTGTACAAGCTAAGAATTTATCAGTAGGTACTCGTGAAGGTCTTTCACAGAAATATCAACAGATTTTGTCTGTCGGATATCAGACGGCAAGTTATTCCACAGTCTGGCAGCCTTAATAGCGTAACACTCGTGGTAACCTGATGTTGTTAACGAAAGGTAACCTGTTTTTTTTATAAATCTGGTTTCCCCGCTCAGCAGCAGGCCATCTTTTCTGCTGTATTTATTTTTTGCTTAATATTCTTTTTTTTTCTTGGGTTGGCCTGTGTTGATCCTTCTAATTCGACGGGTTAGGATAGGGAATGTACAGTTGCGCATTTGTCTGGTCTTTGGCTAGGGGCAGTTCAGTCAGTTTGTGCGCTGGTCAGGCGACGTCTCGAATTTCTCTGAGACGTACCCTTTTCAGGGCGGGCCAAAATGAGGGCAAACCGCGCGGTATATGGCCTTATGGCCGATCCCGTGCATCGCCTTCCATGCGAGGGACATCGCTGGGTGTTAGTGGGTATACTCCTGCTCTTTAAATAACCCCATTCTGGGGCGGCTCCATAGTGGGGAATTCCACATAACCCCGGTTAGCAGCGCCGGCGTTTCAGACAGTAATGCATTTCCCAGCGTTAAAAAAAGACCCCAAGGAGAACCCGCAAATGACCAAAGAGAACTTCAACAAAAAGATATTCAGAAGATTCTGAGTATTTAAAATTATGGATTTATAGTATATTGTATTAATATAAGGTATAATAATCATCACCAGCCCTTTTACGTCCCCACTGCGGGGGCTCAGGCTTATGGATGGTTAAGGAGGATGGGCCATGACCCTCCACGCTGGCCCAATGCGGATTGGAGGGTATTAGCGACTGCAAATGCAGCCGGGACCAACGGCTTAACGTGCCTTCCGAAGCACGGAGTAGCTCGAGATAATTTTTGGTCACCCATCCCGTGACCGACCCTTGCGAAAGTTGCTTAACGATTACGATCGCGGGCTGCGGCGCTTATCCACTACGCCACCGAGCTACTCTATAATAATAAAACAAACTAATATAAAAATAATAATAATAATAGCTAATACACATATAAATTAATATAAAATGAAACATAGCAAGTATGTGTTTTCTGTAATTTATCTACACGCCGGCAGGTTGGAAAAAAAATCGCATTCAAAAGCGTCGACACACCGAATAAACTTCTAAATATTCCAAATAACTTTAGTCAAACTTCATTAATATAATTATATAGGCAATAATAACTATATTAATAATGAGTGGAAATAGGTAATACATGAAATAAAAAACTACATACGAATATTATTGTTTATAAACAAGGCACGCTCCTTCTGAATGATTATAGTGAATTATATTTGTAAT